GTTGTAAAGAGGGCGGGGACCAGGTCATTGACCTCCCAATGGAGGACACGGGCTTCTGTGGCTGCAGGCACTGGGCATGTTGGCTGCACACAGCGTGGAGGCCAGGGCCGGGCAGGAGGGCCCTGGGCAGCCCGGATGGAGGAACAGACGGCGAGAGAGAAGCCATTTCCAAAAAACATGCCAATCACAGGGCCCGTCCATGGCGCATGTGACTGAGGTTTCCCTTTGCTAATACCTACCACTCGGCGGAGTCCACCAAGCACCAAACATTCTATAATCACCATCTCACTAAGTCCCCCCAAAATCCTTGAAGATGGGATCGCCCCGTTTTACAGATGGGAAGACTGAGGCCCAGAGACGTCAGTTGCCCCCCAACCATCCAGTCCATCTCCAGGCCCCCAGGCCACGCTGCTGTCTTTACAGTCACAATGGCCCATCCTGGGCTCAGATCTCCCCCAACCCCACCCCTAGGTTGGCATTGGTTAGAACAGCAGTTCTGTGTCTTACTGACCGTAACTTGAGCAAGTTCCCCCACGGATCCCCACCACCAGGGAGCGCCTCAGAATAACAGTCTGACCACCTCAGAATAACACAGTCTGACCAAACTCAGCTGCTGGGAAGCCACTGCTGCGCGAGGACAAATACGGCCCTGGCTCCGCTGGGACCACTGACCTGTCACCAGGGGTGTCAGCGTGAGAACGTGTTTCTCAGTGAGGACGCGGCCTGGGCGGCTTTGAGTTTACTTTTCTCACGTGGCAGCTCACTGGGAACGCCTCTGCAGGTCGGAACAGCCTCCTCCCTCAGCCCCTACGCCGCACAGGGACTTGCTTCTGCCTGGACGGGACGCTGCGCTGGGCACACGCTGGCGGCTTGTGCAGGAGCACCCGTAGGGTAAGTTGCTAAGGAGTAACTACTGGAACCCGAGGCGTAAACATGCACCATTTTAGCAAACAGGCCAGACGACCCTCCAAACATGCAAACCCCATGGGTGCTCCGCGCCACGGCGAGTGCCCGCTTCCCTGCACCCTGCCCAGGCCAGTGTCTCTGCCACTCTGACAGCGGGCCTTCAGAGCTCAGGCCGCTCGCTCTGTCTGATTGGCATCTCTTTGGTCATCAGCGAGGCCGGACATCTTTTTGTAGGTTTACTTCTGTGAAGAGTGTGTTATATCCTTGGCCAGTTTCTCTGCCAGTTTATTCATTAAAAAAAAAATTATTGGGCCCGGCTGGTGTGGCTCAGTGGTTGAGCATCAACCTATGAACCAGGAGATCAGCAGTTCGATTCCCGGTCAGAGCACAGGCCCAGGTTGTGGGCTAATCCCCAGTGCGAGGTGTGCAGGAGGCAGCCGGTCAGATTCTCTCTCATCATGGATGTTTCTGTTCCTATCTCTCTCTCCCTCTCCCTTCCTCTCTGAAATCAATAAGAATATTTTTAAAAATCCCTCCCATGCCTTTAGTCGTGCCGAGGGAGTGTGACCATGGTAACATCTGCCCACCCAGCATCACACCTGGGTCACAGCGGAAAGGCCTTCAGAGGCCAGGGAGACGTGGGACGGGCCAGAGGTCACAGGCTCCTGGGTAGCTGGCCAGGCCTGAAACAAGGCCTATTTCCTGTCTCGATTTTAGGGTAATAAATTGGATGCAATAACAGTATTTTTTCCATAGGCCCCTCCTCATTTAAATCCCTTGCCCATTCACCCTAAGAGGGATTTGTGGGTTTGTTTGCTGGCTTGGTGTGTGTGTGTGTGTGTGTGTGTGTGTGTGTGTGTGTGTGTGGTGTTTTTTTAAGAGGAAAGCAGTCAGCTCGCGGGCACACATTTCTCCAGGCTGCAGAGGTGGCTGGGACATCCCTGGAGCCTCTCCAACCACCAGGCTGGGGTTGGGGTGGGAGGTGATTGCCCGTGGGTGCAGGGTTTCTTTCTAGATGACGATGTTCTGAAATTCCATGGTGGGGGGAGGGTCGCCTTGCTTTGCAAATATACTGCAGCCAGATGAAAGGCGCACATCAAAGGGGTGCGACACAGTGTGGGAATGATTTCTCAAATGGCAGCCGCATGTCCTGGCCTCTCCCCTGGCTCTGAGGGTGGGACCCAGCCTGGAGGAGAGGGGCAGGGCTGGCCTGGCCCTGATGCTGGAGGCCACGCTCTGCCAAGGGTCTGGGCTCGGCCCCCCTTTCCCTCACCTCCGGCCTTACAGTGAGCGGGAGGGTCCAAGCCCAGCCCAGGGTCTCCTCCTTGCCCCAGGCTTCCTGCCACAGCCTCCTGCTGTTCCCCCCACCACCCCTTCTCTCCAAAGCCGGCCTCCCCCCGTCCCTCCCTCCCACGGCAGCTGGAGGAGTCTCTAAAAACACACCTCTTAGCATGCCATCGTACTGTTTAAACTCTGTCTGTGGTTTCCCAAGACCTTCAAATATTGATGTTCTAACTCCTCAGAACCGTGGACACGCAATAGCCTGGCCTGTCCAGCTTCCTCCCTCCACCCTCACCCTCCCGCCAGTGTCCCTCCTCGCAGCCCACCCCACACTGACCACCATGCTGGCCACACCCCCACTCGAATCAGGTTGCTTCTCCACTCACCGAAGGCCCCCCGAGTGCCCAGCACACACCGGGCAGGGCTGTGGGAGACTGGAGTGACGGCCCCGTGTGCACGCAGGCTGGGGCGGAAGGGGGTCTGCCGTGGTGAGCACGCGGACGGAGCGTGTTCCTGTGTTCTTGTGGATTAGTCCCTGCGTTATTCTCCAGATGAACTGTAAACCTACTTTTGCCCCACTCTATGTCAAAACTCCTGGATCACAGCGTAGCCTTCACACTTTGCCATCTCCTGCATGTTATTCATATTTGCAGGTTTGTTTTTTTTTAAAAAAGCCTACACAACGCCAAGGGAGCTTTTCGTACCTGTCAGGTTCGTGAAAACACCCAGATCTGACCAGACGTTTCATTGGAAAGGTGTAGGGAGACGGGGACTCCGCATGGCTGGTGGAAGTGCAAGGTGGTCAGCCAGAGAGGACAGGCACGGCTAGCAAAACTGCAGAGCATCCGACCCCGGACCCGACAATGTGGCTCCCAGAACTCAGCCTGCAGATACACCTGCACATGATGACGCGGTGCACGGCTACACGCTGAGTGTGACTAGCGCCAGGCCTTCCCCATGCAAGTCAATAAGCCAGGCGGCCTCCCCGGGGGCTGCCGGTGCCTAGGACTTCCCCACGCAGCATGCGTGGCAGCGGCAAGCTCACTCCGCGCAGCTGGGAGAAACCTCCCAGGATGTGCTGGTAATAAAAGGAAGCCTGATGCTCAGTAGCACACGGGGTCACTCACTACTTGGTGTTTAAAAAGGGAAATATAAAAATATGTGGTGGGCCCGGCCGGCGTGGCTCAGTGGTTGAGCATCGACCTATGAACCAGGAGGTCAATTCCCGCTCAGGGCACAGGCCCGGGTTGCGGGCTCCATCCCCAGTGGGGGGCGTGCAGGAGGCAGCCGATCCATCTTTCTCCCTCATCATGGATGGTTCTCTCTCTCCCTCTCCCTCCTTCTCTCTGAAGTCAATAAAATAAAGATTTTTACGAAGATTTTAAAAAATAAATAAATACAAATTAAAAGAGTGTTGGCTGCCGTGTGGAGAGTCGAGGAGAGAAAATCAGGAGATGGGCTAGGAGTTTGGTGCAAAAATACAGGAAGGAGAGGAAGCCGGTGTGGATGGAGGTGGGGCACGGAGCAGCCGGCAGGCACGGAGCTGGTTTGGAGGGGACACCCCAGGGCTGGTCCCACTGGAGTCAGTGGACGGTCAGAAAAAGGGCGCCTGACTGTCTGCAGGAGCCCCAGTGCCTGGGCCAGGAGCCTTCGCTGCGATGAGCAGACCGCGTTCAAGGAGAATGTGTCCAAGTGCGCTGGCTGTGAGGAGGGTATTAACTGAGGACATGGCGCCATGCAGAGAAGGACCATTTAAAGCCGCCACTTACGCTGGTGAACAGCCAGCCCCCAGCGGGTGAGCGTGGCCGGGCGGAGGGCGGGAACGGAGGCGCTGGGTCCCAGGAGCTGGCCGAGGTCTCCGTCGGACATGCTCTGTGTGAAATCTAATCTCCG